AGATAGATAAATAGATTGATAGATAGATAGATAGATAGATAGATAGATAGATAGATAGATAGATAGATAGATAGATAGATAGATAGATAGATGGTAGGTAGGTAGGTAGATGATTAAATAGATAGTAGATAGATGATAGATAGATAGATAGATAGATAGATAGATAGATAGATAGATAGATAGATAGATAGATAGATAGATAGATGGATGAGAGAGAGATAGGGGTAGATAGATTGGTAGATAATAGATAGATGATAGATAGATAGATGATAGATGGATGGATGGATGGATGGATGGATGGATGGATGGATGGATGATAGGTAGATAGGTAGGTAGGTAGATGATTAGATAGATAGATAGATAGATAGATAGATAGATAGATAGATAGATAGATAGATAGATACGTACAGATAAAGAAAGAAAATAGGTAGACAGACAGAGAAAGACAGAGACAGAGAGACAGACAGATAGACAGATAAAGAAAGAAAGAGATAGGTAGACAGACAGGCAGGCAGACAGATAGATACACAGTTGGAAGGGACCTTGTAGGTCATCTAGTCCAACCCCCTGCCCAATCAGAATGTAAGAAGAGGTCTCACTCTCTGCTTAACCAGGTTAATTGAAGCCCCGACACCTATGTCCTTCGCACATTCTAAGCTGGGTTATGTTTGAACTCGGTTAGTGTTTGTTTGCAGCTGAACTTTCTCGCTCGTCTATTTTAAAAAATTTTGTCCTTCTTCTTATGTCTTCCCTCCCTTGAGAAGCAAAATTAAAAAGTAGATTCCCCCCCCCCCCACTTCTTATATTGTGAGAAAGGGATATGAAAACCTGCTTGCACAATGTTGTATTTCCCTCCTGACCCAACCAGCAGTAAAGCTGTTTTAATCCCTGGTTTCATAGCTTCTCTTTTTGTAGATCAACTCTTGAGTCCCAGATAGTAAAATCAGATCAGTGAAAAGAAGTTCTCTCGCTTCTTATCTTGGGAAATATTTTTGACAAAGCGAAGCAGACTTTCTCAATCCTGGCCAGGGGAAGATGGATGGACTTCAACTCCCAGAATCCCCTAGGAAGCCCTCTATTTCCCTCCCTCCCTTCTCAATCCCTCCTTCCCTTCCTTCCCCTTCCCCTTTCCCTCCCTCCCTCCTCTCTCTCTCTCTTTCTTTCTTTCTTTCTCTTCCCTCTTTCCTTCTTTCCTTCTTTCCCTCTTTCTCTCTCTTTCTTTTTCCTTCTTTCATCCTTCCTTCTTTCCTTCCTTCTTTCCTCCTTTCCCTCTCTGTCCCTCAAACAACCTTCCCTCCCTCCTATTGGGAATTTAGGAAGCCAGCTATCTCCCTCCCTCCCTTCTCAATCCCTCCTTCCCTTCCTCCCCCTCCCTTCCGCCCTCTTTCTTTCTTTCTTTCTTTCTTTCTTGTTCTTCTTTTCTTCTTTCCCTCCCCTCTTTCTTTTTCTTGTTGTTCCTTCCCTTCTTCCTTCTTTCCCTTCTTACTTTCTTGTTCTTCCTTCCCTCTCTTTCTTTCCCTCCTTCCCTCTTTCTCTCTTTCCTTCTTCTTCCTTCTTTCATCCTTCCTTTCTTCTTTCCTTCTTTCCCTCCCTCCCTTTCTGTCCCCCAAACAACGTTTCCTCTCCTCCCCTTCCCTTGGGAACGTAACAGATTAACAGAGTCAGAAGGGACCTTGTAGGTCATCTAGTCCAACCCCCCCCCCCAAAGCAGGAGACTACACCACTTCTGACCGATGGCCGTCCAGTCCTCCTCTTGAAAGCTTCCAGGGATGGAGCTCCCACTATTTTTGAAGTTGTGCAATTCTGGGAGCCCCCCCCCCCCTTCCTCCTCCCTGTAACCGTGTCCTCATGTACTGGCCGATGCGTGTCACCGGCTGAGCCAACGCCGGAATAACCCCACATCCCGCGTGGGCTGGGCATTTTGGCCTTCCTTCCTTCCTTCCTTCCTTCCTTCCTTCCTTCCTTTGTCTCCCCCCCCCCCTCTCTCTCTCTGTGCCCTTTTGAGGACTGTCCCTTCCCCACACGCGGAGAGAGGAAGTTGTGAAGGGTGCCGGTTGTTGTACACGCAAAAAGTGGAAAAGCGAGTTTGGGACGCCCGTTTCTCTCCGTTCCCATGCTCATTCGCCTGAGCCAGTAGGACCCTCCTCCCAGCCCCTTCTGTGGGTTGGAAAGGTAATCCTCGACTTACGACTGGGAGGCAGCCTTGCCCCTTAACGACCGTAGAGCGTACGATTCCCCCAAACGACCAACCTAATTTTATCCACCTGTTTTTGGCAGCAGTTGTTCAATAAACACCGCAGCCATAAGGCGACCACCCTGGTTGTTTTAAAAAAAAAAAAAAACAAACAAACCACCGCGGTCGTAAAGTGAATCCATTGTCCACCCTGGCCTCATTTATGCCAGAAACTTGGGGGGGGATTCTTTTTTTTTTTTTTTCAACAAACGATGGGTAAACATGGGCCAGGTGTCGAATGTGGGAGGAGATCATAAGACTCCCTGGGAAGGTAGCTTTGAAACCGTCATTAAAGCAACCAGTCGTAAATCAAGGACTATCTCTCTGAGGGGAAAAGGGGGGGCAACCAGGCTTGCATTTATTAGCAGTGGGGGCTCCCCAAAACCTGTCTCTGAGCACCGAAGGAATGGATCCCAAAAGATAAATTTTTGCTTTCAGGATAGATGTTTGGGGGGGGGGGGGGCTCTCAAACCAGGAAAACCATCGATCAAAATAGATATTGTTGGAAGAACCGTCCCTCTCGGTTCAGTTCAAGGGTGGAATGCTACCGGTTCAGCCCAGTTTGGCCAAACCAGTAATAAAATAAAATACTTAAAAAAAGTTTTTTTAAAAAAAGTTCCGACTATCGCAGGTTGCATAGCTGAGCTTTGGAACATTTAAAAAAAAAACTTTTTAAGCAGTTTTTTTACTACAGGTTCTCTGGAAACGCGGGGATGGGAGGGGTGGTGGTGTCCGTTTTTGCTCCCAGCAGGCTTCCCTGAAGCCTGGTAGGCCAAAAAGAAGGGCTGAGGAAGGAAGGAAAGAGAGAGAGAAAGGAAAGAAAGAAAGAGAGAGAGAAAGGAAGAAAGAAAAAAGAAAAAAGAAAGAGGAAGGCAGGGAGGAAAGGAAGGGAAGAAAGAAGGAGAGAACGAAAAGGAAGGAAGGGAAGAAAGAAAGGAAGGCAGGGAGGGAAAGAAGGAAGGAAAGAAAAAAGGGAAAGAAAGAGGAAAGAAAGAAAGAAAGAAAGAAAGAAAGAAAGAAAGAAAGAAAGAAAGAAAGAAAGAGGAAAGCAGGAAAGGAAGGAAGGGAAGAAACGTGTTGATTTCTATTTCTCTTTTAGGGGAAATAGAATATTCTGCCTTTTTTAAATATTCCCCAAAGTATTTCATTCTTCTAAAGGGATGTGGTGGCTCAGTGGCTAAGACCCTGAGCTTGTTGGCGGTTCGAATCCCTAGGGCCGCGTAACGGAGTGAGCTCCCGTGACTTGTCCCAGCTTCTGCCAACCAAGCAGTTCGAAAGCTCGTAAAAAAAGCAAGTAGAAAAATAGGAACCCCCTTTGGTGGGAAGGGAACAGCGTTCCGTGCACCTTCGGGAGTTGAGTTATGCCGGCCACATGACCACGGAGACGTCTTCGGACAGCGCTGGCTCTTTGAAACCAAGATGAGCAGCGGCCCCTAGAGTCAGGAATGACTAGCACATATTCGCCAGCGGGAACCATTCTTCTAGCGGGTGGGGGGGGGCGCAGGAGTTAACTTTGTACAATATTTACAACCCAGAATAACAGGCAAAGCGGTCTCTGTTTCGATTTCCTTCTTTTTCTCCTTTCGGGAACCTTTTTTTAACAAAATTCGATTTATTCCATACAAATTCGCAACGGTTGCCGAGGGCTCAAACGACCGGCGGGGAACGGGAACTGCCACGGTTGTAAGTGCGAGGAATAGGTGGGAACCCCTTCTTTCCCCCACTTCGTACACAGTCACTAAGCTTGCGGTCGTCACCTGAGGACTACCGGCTCTGTTTTCCCTCTCTCTCTCCCTCTCTCTAGGATTATGCGCCCCGATGACGCGAACATCGCTGGCAACGTCCACGGAGGCATCATATTAAAAATGATCGAAGAGGCCGGCGCCATCATCAGCACCCGTCATTGCAACTCACAGTCCGGGGTACGTGCTCTCTATTCCCACAACCACACCAGTGTCACAAATGTCGGTTCTCCGAGGCCACAAGGGTGGGGGTGGGGTGGGGTGGGTGTCCCTCTTTGTCCACGGAGCAGCCGCCAATAAAGCTACAGAGTCCTTTTTGCAAAGTGTGG